CGTTCTTTTAGTTGCTGTTGCTGCTGCTGCTGCTGCTGCTGCTGGCCGGGGCTACCGTGCGCCGTCAGTTGGCATTTTATTTATTGACTCACCTGATCAACTTGACTGATTATTCGTTTGCATGCACGCTCTGTCGCTCTGTCACAGAAGCAGCACAAACAATAACACAATAACAAGAACAACTTCAACTTCATTCAGAACAATTGCAAAAGCGAATGTCACAAATACACTTCTCAAACACATGACAAGCCTGAATACTCTTAAGCAAGACAGGGAAAAGAGTTTAATGAATCAATTGTTGTTTTTGAGTGAATGTTTTACTTAGCTATATTTTTATTTATTTATAGATTATAATAATTCATTTATGTTAGTTTTAGCACTCTGACCATGATAAACCAAGATTGTTTCAATAATGAGAATAGCTTACAAGATATTCAAAAAATTATTGGGGAAAACACCAAGAAAGTTAGCTGAAGCCTGTATAAAAACTATAATCAATTAAAAATTCAAGTTGATCAATTTTATTTAAATATATATGTTGGTTAGAAGGCAACGATATCACTGAAGTGAAACTCTTCAAAAAGTCACTCGTAATGTAGTATGAGAAGTGAGTATTAGTTGAGTTGTCTAGTTAAGTTGTTGTAGCTGCTGAATATGGAGAAAAGCTATGAAATAAGGTAGTAGAAATTTGTTAATCGCTAAAATAAGATAACGATTCGCTTTCATTAATTTATACAAATTATGTATATTGAAAACATATATTTGTGTATATGCTTATTTAAGATTAAATAAATTCAATGTCATAGCCATATCCACTAATTAAGCCTTTGCAAACTAAATAAAATAAAGAAAACTTACCTCTTTTTGTTTGTCCGAACTTTCATCTATTTTCCAAGTATTCGATGTCTGTAGAAAATAGTTCATAAAGTGTAGCATCTCTCTGATCTCATTTAGCTCTATCAATTAATTAAATATAATTAGTGAAATATAGGTAATTTTTTATATAACTTAAAAATCTGATACAATGTTACATCTGTGTTTGTAAAAGCGTGAAAGGAAAGTGAAAATGCAATTGTTAAACTCAGAGTGGAAATAAGAAATAAACTTTGTTGATACAGCCTTATTGAAGGTGAGCTAAACTTTCCAATACGCTACGAGCTGATCGGGGATGTGGAACAGAGAAGGGCAGGAGGGATTCTGGGATAGGGACGGCTTCGCTCGAAAGCAAAGTCGAAGCGACATGCGAAACAATTCAAAGTTTCACGTCGTAAATTTGGCGGGCGACTTCATCGATCACTTTTGGACTTGTTGTTGTAGTAGTTGTTGCCTTTGCTGTAGCTGCAGGTTGACTTATTTGCCCGATTGCCCAGCCCGAGCTGAGGGCGAGACTGCCTGGGTGCCGGGTTCCAGGTTCCAGGCTCCAGGTCCCGGCTCCAACGGCTAAACGGCACGCGCGTCTTGTTTTTTCTGAATGTCGTTGTTTGTGTTGTTATTTCGTTCTCATTGTTGCTGTTGTTGTTGTTGTTGCAGCAGTTTGCTGGAGCGGAAATGGAGACTGAGTGCGCCCATTGGCGGCATGTGAAAATATTTCCCAAGGTGAATGCCACAAAAAAAGACAAACCCAAAGCACAGAGCGAGCCCATCCATGGCAACACGATTCCAGCTGAGCCCCCCGCCACAGCACCGTTCCGTTCCTGTTACCGTACGCCCAGCCCCATGCCCCTTCCGTGAGCCCCAATTGAATGATTTAGGGGCGCAGAGTTGTCAAAGAGCAGCGATGCGTACGGGCCCACAGACGTGGACCTGTGGCCAAGGCTCTGGTCCTGCCATTTCTGTGTCGCACATCCCCAGCCCCAGTCGCCCCAATAGTTGCAACATTGGTGGGGCGCCAAGTACGCTTTTAAAACCGATTCATCCGCTCATTTGATATTTATTGCAGCACATAATTGAGTGTAAAATTGTACGAAAAAAAAAAAAAAAAATTGAACAAAAACTTGAAAGCCGCTGCACGCCTGCGGAAAAATGTTGTTAACTGTCTGATAAAATATATATTTAGGCTATTTACATTTTTATCTTTTAATCATTTATGACAATATAAATGGAATAAATAAATTCGTCAACAAAAATTATTTATTTATAATTTTGATAAAAATAAAAATTTCGTAAACAATTTTTAAAAATAAATAATTTGTTTCTATTAAATTTTATAGTATTTCTTTTTATTATAATTCTCATTTATATTATATTTTTATATTATTTTTCATTGCTTGCTCAATAAATTCAATTACATATA